CTCAAAAGCTCTTTGCACATTTTTCTTGTAGTTAGTGAGTCTGCTTGGGATTCTGACTTGCTATAAACCTGGGGAAATTGAGGTCCAAACAAGTCCAAGGTTTTATTAACCTCAGTGCCAAAATGGCAGTGCTTGGTTTCATTGCTTTGCTTTGCTTTTCCCTCCCACCTTCCCTCCCTCCCTTCTTTGTTTTCTTTCTTTTCTTTCTTTCAGAGTCACAGAGAGAAAGGGAGAAAGGGAGAGATCCATCTTCTATCCACTGGTTCACTCTCTAAATGGCCACAATAGCCAGGGCTGATCCAGGCCAAAGTCAGGAGCCTGGAACTCCATCCAAGGGACTGGCAGGGACTCAAGCACTTGAATCATGTCCCATTGCCTTCCTAGGCACATTAGCAGGGAGCAGGATCAGAAGTGAAGCAGCCGGGACTTGGACACTGTATGGGATGCCAGCGTCTCAGGAAGTGCCACACGATGGCCCCTGGCAGTGCTTGATTTTTTTTTTTTTTTTTTGACAGGCAGAGTGGACAGTGAGAGAGAGAGAGACAGAGAGAAAGGTCTTCCTTTTGCCGTTGGTTCACCCTCCAATGGCCGCCGCGGGTGGCGCGCTGCGGCCGGCGCACCACGCTGATCCGATGGCAGGAGCCAGGAGCCAGGTGCTTTTCCTGGTCTCCCATGGGGTGCAGGGCCCACAGTGCTTGATTTCTGTTTGGCTTCCCTGATAACTCAGCGGGGCTAACCTGCTTCATGGTTCACGGAGTAGGACAGACACCAGGATGAGTCGAAACAGGGTGCTTTAAAATCGTGTAAGCGTGTATGCATTCCTTTCAGGGAAAAGAAAGAACTGATAGAGGATATAGAGGTGGGTGATGGCTCTAGAGGCTTAGAAGTGCAGTTTGCTGCAATTGTATTACTTACAAAGGTAGCATAGATTTTTGTTTATTGTGGTATCTGTGTGTTTATGTATCTGTTTGTAACTAAATAAAGCTTTTCTTGTAGAAGATGTTACAATGGGTAATAAAGCCACTGATGAGGCAGAGAAAATACACTTTTAGTATATAACCCTTTAGTCTTTTGTGTTCCAATTGCATGTGTATTCTGTTATGTTTCTACTCCTTTCCTATAAATAACTTGTGCTCCACCTTTACGCAGTTTCACCAAGAATAACATTCTGCCCTTGAGTTACATGAGAGCATGTTTATTGGCAGTGTATGGCCTTGGTATTTGAAGGAAAAGAGATCCCTCCTCCTCACCTTAATCCATCAGGTCGAAGTCATCAGCAGAGAATTTGCCCTTTGCTTTCTTCAGTGAGACGCCTCTTTGACAGCAGACTTCAGAAATCCAGGGCCCATGTTTTCTGCCTTCAGAGGCTGCACTAAGTCACACTTTCGACTTCAGCTTCCCTGTAGAAGTTGTCTGGGACCACTTAGACGTAGCAGTTGCTGTCTTCTCTGCTCAAGGAGCAGATAGTACCGTCCTCAAGCTCGCTCTCCTCCATCTTTGGAAAGCTCCCCTTGGTTACCCTGAGTGGACCAAATGAGCCCATTAAGACAGGTGTGGGTTCTGCCTGTCTGCCTCCCATGTACTACGGGATGAGACTGAGGAGCACAGACTTCCTGCTGCTGCAGGGTACACGTGCTGTGCTTTAGTCCTTAGGAGAACCACTGGCATGCTGTGAAGTGTCGGATAACGCTGCTTCCGACAGCCCATCCGGGACATGCAGCCTGCAGTTCATGCCCACTGGACCAGGGGCACAGCCTACGATTTCTAGGTCTTGGAGAATTCGGCCAACCAGTGACCTTTCATGTGGGTCCTATTAGGTCTCCCAGCTGTTTTCAATTCATCTGAATTATTTTGGCTAAAATAAATTATAAATTTTCCAAAGGAGGTTTCTTCCAGCATTCATATTTATTAGATTTTAAGATTTAATGACCATATGGGCCTAAAACAAATCCTTAATTTCTTTTCTTTTTTCAAATGCAGTCAAGTGGAGTGTTTTGGCTTTGACTATTTAAATATTAACTGGTGGGCATAACCCACTTTGGGCTCCTGGAAAAGGTGTGGCTTTTTAAAATGCAGCTTTTTGGCAATCAGCAAGGAGGAACAAATGCCTCTGTGAATTTAAAGAAACATTTTCTTATTATAAAATGCATCCTGTGGTATCATTGCAACAGGGACACTTTCCCTGGACCGCTGTAACGAGGAAATGGGCTTTTATTGACCATACCCTATCCTATACCCCACTCCCCACCACCTTTCAGACTGGTTGATTTTGTATCTTCAACAGTGGGAATTTTTAAATTAATGTTTTATTGCCTCAATGAGCTGTGGATATAGTATTCTTGAAAAGGAATTCGGAATAAGACTAACATCCCGCCTTGAACTAGTCCCTCTGGTCCCCGCCCTCCGTGCCTCTCCTGAAGTATCCGTGTCACTTATTTGGTGTGGACGGTGGTGTAAGGCCAGAAACCATGCATGTGCTTGGGTGTATATGTGCCTGCCATTCTTCAGCATTCCGTCACATAGCGAAGTGTTTAGGAGGCCATCTTTGTTGGGACCATAGAGATACATCATTCGTTTTAACCTCCATGGATAGCCTTCTAGGTTGACTAACTCCTAGGTTAATCTGAGCTTCTAGTTGTTTTTATTTTTTTCTTTCTACAGCAGTGCTGTCGTGCACATCCTTGTGAATGCACCTGTGAACATACCTACAGGTGTTACTCTAGAGTAGAGGACAGACAGTGCTCTTGATCGTATATAAGAAGAGCTTAAGAGTCCAGGAGCTTAAAACTGTGCAGTCTTGTAAACAATTATAGGTCGGGATTGAAACCATTGCCATTGATTCTACCTACCTAGATGGAAATTATTTACAAAACATTGTAGAGAGCACAGTCAAGTTCAGTAAAAGCCAGCTACAGTGCAGTTTTGCTTATTCCAATGAACAAAGAATGTCTGAATTAGGTGACAATTTGAATTTAAAGATGTAGTATAAAATTTTGAATACAGTGATGCACATTAATATAACTTGATATGGATCATATTATTGCACCAATAAAAGCACCCAAGAATTATGTGCAAGCAGAAAGACAAATCAGAATTTTTCGCCTTATCTGTAGATCAAATAGTTCTCCTCCCATCTTTTTTATATTTTAATATGCTTATAGAAAAATGTTTCTTAGCTGGAGTCACATAATCACATCCACTTGATTTCTCAATTTTATGAATTAGCCAAGGAAAGAGAAAGGGCCAGGTCCTGGAGAAAGTGTCCTGTGCCAGGGACGAGGCTCTGAAACATTTTCTCTTACTTAATTACCTTCACAGTCTTGTGAGGTGAGCCGGGGTGTTTCTGTTTCATCCGTGGAGACTGGGCATAGAGGGCGCTATAGGAACCTGCCGAGGGTGCCTGGGTTTGCCTGACCTGAAAGTGTCACCCTCCACTGCGTCGTAACTTCCTTAAATGGGGTTCTGAGACCTCTTGTGTTGGAAGCCCCAGGAAAACTTCTTGGGACTGCAGACTTCTGGGCTCCTGGGGGAAGGGCCTGGGAACCTGCATTTTCCACAAGCTGCTGTGTGTTGCTCATGCGCTCTGAAGTCTGAAAGCCACTGTGCCAGACCGTGGTGACCTCATTTTGCTGATGCGACGAGCCTTGCCCAGATAGCGCTCTCCCCACCCCCGCACCATGCCTCTTAGGCTAAGTAATTCGTGTCGTGCCTCACTTGGAATGGTCACATCCACGGTGCTCCTCGGAGTGGCTTCTGCTGTCCTCACCCACTTCTGTTGCCTCCTATTACTTGCGCTGAACTTGGCAGGGCTCGCGGTTTGACGAGTCACTTCCCAGAGATTTGAAATCATTGCACTGTGTGGGGATCCCTTTCAAAAACAGGTTGGAATTTCCTGTGCAAAACCCTCGGAGCGCACTCTTCTCTGGCACTTTACACAGATGGAATCTGCATTGAGCATTGTGACTCCTGCCCCAACTAGAGGTGGCAGCCTGCACAAGTGATGACTTTCCCAACACACATTTGTGCTCCATTTTCCCTTTTTTTTTGGCTACTCTTCCCCATTCTCTGTTGCTGACAGATTCTCCATAATCTGCCACAAATTTGTACTGACTTTCCTAAAAGTGAGACAATCACTGGCCCCTCCCACTAAGGACAAGGCTTGGGCACAGACTTTGGGGCTCAACCTTCTGTCTTTCTCTTTCTCCTTTGTTCTCATTTTTTTTTTCCCACAGCTCTGTGACTTTTTTCCTTTGCACTCCCAGATGACACGGTTCCTTTCCCCTGGAGGGGCTAGCCCAAGCTCCAGTACTTTCCAACCAGCTGAATAGGAGGTTGAGTGCTTGATTGACAGGCACCGAGACGTGTGCTGATGAACTGGAGGGGATCTTAGACCAACATGGACTTGGCTTCCTATTTTATCCTGTGCTGGCAAAAGAGCATTGTCTTTGTTTTGGTATTGAGCTCATCCAAATAAAGAAGGCATTTCCTCTCCTGAACGGCAGAGGCAAAAAGGAAAGAAAAGACAAAAAAGGAAAAAAAATTAATTTTAACCATGTACTCCTTTGAAACTAAATATATACCCTTTCCTCTGTCCTGATTGGTCCACTTCATGTGACAAGTGGATCGTGCGGAAAGGAAATATCCCGGACTTAATTGTAAGTTAAGTCTCTCTTAATCCAGAAGAGCATTTGAGATTCTGTCCAAGTGTTCAATTTCCCAGGCCGCTGAGGTCTGTGAATTTCTTTCCCCAGCCTCCAGGCTGCTGCAGTACAAGTCAGCATAGCTAATGCAGATAGATCTGCCTCTCGCTCTCCTCCTCCCTCTGCTTTGATTCGATATGAACAGCCTGGTAACTCCGATGCTGGGGAGAAATCTGACATAACTCTGCAGATGGCTAGGTTGCCATGAAACACCTGGGGATGGTTCTTTAAGGAAAAGGTAACATTGCTATGCTAATGATTTCTTTCCCCCTCCCTCCCTTGTTGCTTTTTTTCCCCCAGGGCTGCCAGTCCCCAAGAAGAGCCCAAAGTCGGTAAGGACTTGTCAGTTCCTTGGTGCTTGTTTGGAGGTGGGGGGCTGGCCGGCTGGTGGTGGGAGGGTTCACGGTCCAGCTTCACTTCATTAAATGGGTTTTAGAGTGGCTGGGGAAGAGACAGGGGCCAGGTCTCCTTTTATTAAGTTCTGGGGATCTGCTTGGTATAGAAGGTATCTGGGCTTGTCTTTAACTGTGTGGTGATTTGTGGGCAGGTTGCCGGAGCCGGGATACAGAATGCATGTTTGGAATCGTCTCTGTACCAATGCATCACAACTCTCCTTCACGGGATGAGTTTCTTAGCTGTTTGAACTTGATGCAAATGCTATTGTCTCCTCTGGAGGGATGGGAAGAGGCAGCTCCACCTGTTCGGAGTAGCTTTGCTCTCAACTGGTGTTCGCAGCCGTTCACATGGCTGCCCGTTCTCTCCCCGAGCTGCCTTATGCCCTGGATGGTGAATTATTTACAAAATACAAAGCCGATTGGTTTGAGGATGAATTGCTCTGCCCTGCATGTGTGTCCATGCTCACATGCAACAACATTCAATGCCCAACGCTGAGAATAAGACATTTCCTTGCTGTGCAAATGTCCTTTGTTGTTTTTCCAGGTTTAACAGCATTATGCTGCAGGTAGAGGATTCTTAAAAAAAAAAAAAAATCAATGTTTTGCTGTCCTTTCTAATCTGGTTTCTCTGAAGATGCATTACCTAGTTGACATGTTAGCTAATAGCTTAGAGATAGTGCTTTGCTTGGTGTATGGGCTTTTGCTCTTGGGGCACTGACAACAAATTAGAATGCTGTTGAAAAACTCAAAATCTGGAGCTCCAATGAAATTGATCTGGGTGGAAGGGGCTTCCTAATTCATTAAAATTAGGATAAAGCTGGGGGTGTTTCCATATGGCTTAGAAGATTGGAGGGAGGGGAAATTTACAGCTTTCTAGCATCCAGGAAAGGAAAAGCTTTAAAACTTTGCGGCTTACGGCGCTGCAGCTGAATTCTTTCCACCTGTCTCCAAGCCTGGCAGCGCGAGACAGAAGTTTATTAAGGAGATGAGAGAGGGAGCTTCCTGCATTCTGAAACCCCACTCCCAAGTTCTCCAGAGAGAAAAACCTGCAATAATTGCTGTGATTCTGATAGCATAGCGCCGTGCTGGTTGGAAGCATTGACTTCAGGGCTGCGGCCCCTGTCAGTCTGTGTTAATGTCCAGGCAAAAAAGGGCTGGCTGGTGCCTAAGCTGGAGCCACAGAGATGGCCGAGTGTGTGCATGGGCACATGTGTTTCTCCCTGGCCCTGGGTCATAGTCAGAAACCCATTCAGCCTTCAGACAAATAGACGCAGATCTGGCAGGTGCAGCTCATGAGCTTAAGTTAGCATGAGCCACCTTTTTTCCCTCCTCCACCCCCACCCCAGCCCTGCTTGGCTGATGGATGGAGTCTTGGCAAGGAACCTACTGTGGGGAGCATAGCAGTTTTGCACAGGTAAGGTGACATCAGGTAGCAAGGTGTTCTTTCCTGTGTTGCATCCCATTTGCACTTGCAGTGCCAAAAAAGGATTTCTGTAGTTCATTTACATCTTTTCCTCCCCAAAGTGTTTGGAAATTATTTGGTGAACTCAAAAGGTGTATCAAACAGGTATACAGCCTGCCTTCAGCAAGTCGGTTAAGAGAATTCCCTATGACAATTTATTTTTGTAGAAGCCTTGCCATTAGCAAGCAGCAAGCCAATTACTTGGGCTGCATTCCTAGGGGAAAAAAAAGCTCTCTTAACTGCTTTGCCCACAGTCTGCTGGCTCTTAATTACCACAAGCTAAGAGAGTGGTGTGTTGCTGGGTTAGCAGAGAACAAGCCCCCAGCTGGAGGCTCGTCCTTCCTCGATTTCTGTGCCAGGACAGGGATGATGGTTTTCACGCCATTACTGGCACGCTCTAGCAGCTGCCGTACAAAACGTGGGGGGCATCTGCCAAGGTCTGCTGTTGGCAGAGGAGCGTTGCTAACATCTGTGACCAGTGGGGGCTCTGTACAGGTGGATGGAAAGCTTTGCCAGTTTGCACTGGGATCGTGTCCTGCCAGAGACGCAGATGATGATGAGATGTTTCTGGTGGGGGTCAGGGAATCCACGAGGAAGCGGGATGTCCTGGAACCAGAAAACCTTTCAGTTAACCGCAGACAGGGTCCCTTGGAGAGGCTGTCTGATGAGACACCACGGGTTGTGCTGGGTTAGATCTGCTCACAGCTCCGTGAATTTAGTGTCTTAACCCAGAGCCATGCTGTTTTCTGCTTAGAAGCTCCTGCGATTGTCGCCTTGCTCCTGTGACTGACCGCTCCTCTTTGCCCTCATTCCTGTTCCCCGCCCCCTCCCCCCAATAATTCAGTCATTGGGTTTTTATTGGAAACGAAGGACTTACCTTTTTTTATCTTATTTCCCTCCAGGGTGGTCCCTATAGCTTACTCTTAATAAGCAATTTCGCCTACTAGATTGAGTTTAAATGTTGAATTTATGGTTTATATACTCACTAGAGACCATGACAGTGTCTTAATAAAATTTTATTAATTCAATACCTGGGCTTCCATCCCATTGGACATTTTCCTGCCAAATGGCAGAGACAAAAATAAGACATATTTGGTGTCACGTTTTAGACCTCTCTGGAAAACTGATTCTGTTGCCCAGCTTAATCAGCCAGACTAGAAACTTGTTTAACTGAGACTTTCAGTCCAAGTTACTCTAAGACCTAGTGAGTGAGGATTTAAAACTCGGAACATCACACCAAACCATAAATTTTAAAATCAACATCTATTAATATATTTATTCATTAAAAAATACTTTGAAAGGTAAAGTGACAGGGGAGTGGGTGGAGGAAAGAGAGCTTCCATCTGCTGGTTCACTCCCCATATGCTGTCAGTGGCCAGGCCTGGTCCAGCCAAAGCCAGGTGCACAGAACTCCATCCAGATCTGCCATCTACTTGGCAGAGGCCCAAGCATGTGGGCCATCATCTGCTACTTCCCCAGACACATAAACAGGGAGCTAGATTAGAAGTGGAGCAGCCAGGACTCAAATCAGTGCTCTGATAGGAGATGCCAGCATGTGGTTGGTTAACCCACGGTGCCACAACGCTGGTCATTTTCTGACTCCTCTTTTACTTTCTCCCTTTTGTCTGTCTGCTCATCTATTCGTCTGTCCACGCATCATCTGTTCATTTGTCCATTCTTTACACTCATCTGTCATTTACTTACCCATTCATTCATTTATTTAGTAAACTAATACTGAGAACCTTTAAGTATTAAGTTTAGAGCAAGGCACTGGAAATACTTCAATAAGTAAAAAGGTCATATCACTTATCTTCTTCCTCTTAAGATTTCTTTCTTTATTTGAAAGAGTTAAAAAAGAGGGTAAGACACACACACACACATACATACATACAGATCTTCCATCCACTGGTCTACTCCCCAAGTGGCTGCAATGGCCAGGGCTGAGCCATGCTGAAGCCTGGAGCCAGGAGCTTCATCTGGATCTCTCACTTGGGTGGCAATAGACAAAGCAGTTGCATAAATTTCTCCTGCCTTCCCAGGCCGTTGGGAGGGAGCTGGATTGGAAGTGTAGCAGCTGGGACATGAACCAGCACCCATATGGGATGCCGGTGTCGCAGGCGGTGGCTTTACCCGTTATGCCACAATGCCAGCCCCAACGCCTCCCTTCTTTCAGCTTGCAAACAGATGGTTTATTGATGTCTCCTTTTAGAAATAGAATTCAAATTACCAGAACTTCTTATGGATTCATTTTATCAACAAGTATTTATGGAGTATCTTCTGTGTCAGACCGGTTCCAGTATTCAGCAAGAGCTAAAACAGAAAACATTCCTGCCTTCTTGGAACTGGAAAGAGAGAACCAATAACCCCATCTGCAGGCAAATCCCTAGAGACCCTTACCTTATGGAGATGAAAGTCTGTTGAGCATGGAGTTTCCAAAGTAAATAGAGCGGAAATATAATATGGAACCAAGTACACACATAACGAAGAATCAGTCAGCTGCTAATTACAACAACCTCAGTGAAGTAGTCCTACAAAATCCAGACCCAAGATTGAGTTCAATGCCATGATGGAGTATGGAATTCTTTGGAGCTCCCCAGCTGCCCAGGCAGCACAGGAAGGGAAGCATATTCTTTGGTTGCTGCTGTTGTCAGATAAAAGAAAGTGCACCGTTTCAGTGAGGAGACACAGTTTCTTCAGTTACTAAAAATCTTCTTGCACAAATTCTCATAGAGAGACCACAGAGTAGCAGGCAGGGCACTCCCTTCAGCAACCTCTTTTTAGCAAACTGAAGAGTAGGCATAGTGACAAGTCTCTGCAGCACAGTCCTCTGTCCCTTTCCCCTGCCAGAGGTGCTAACAGGAGTTTCTGAAAACCAGTCAGTAAGAGATGTGAGGGGAAGACACACAAAGGCCTCTTAGAAATGGTGCACATGACATGACCCTGGCTGACTCATTCGGGTTTATGAACCCTGTCTCATTCTCCGACTCTCCCAGTCATCTTGGAGTCTGTCTTTCTTTTTATTGACGCCAGGCATCTGACAACCGGCACAGTAATAGATCCCATCAAAGCTTCCCCAGTCTCCAAGGAGAAGCAGGGAGAGGAGTGCTTGGAAAAGATACAGGGTTACTTAAGTGAGCCCCCTGGCTCCTGCCTCCCACAGCAGCTCCTGCTCCCAACCCTTTGGAGCCCTCCAAAAGACAGACTTGGCCGTTGTCTTAGATTCCTTTAAAACATTCAGTGTGAACCAGGGTTATTTTCATATCCAATCGATGCATTCCCTTTTCTTCTCCGCTAACTCCTCTTGCCTGGCTTTTTGGAGGAAATCGTCCCATAAGTGATAAAAGAAGTAGACAGACAGTTAGGCTGTGCTGTGTTTTGGCTTGGATTTGGGTGTCAGATTCTTGCACAACCTTTTAATGACATTGGCCTCATACCTCATCCGCACTTGGAGTTTTTCCTGTTGTCCATGCAAATC